CTTCTTTATGTAGCACATTGTATTATTAGGGAAAAAAAGTCACAGTAGTCCCACTTGTGTCTCTGCATGTCTTCATGCCCCTCATCTTTTAAAAATGAAAAAAAATCAATTTAAAAGTAGGCTTACCACAAAACAAAGTCCATTAATAAATATCCTTGCATGATAATATAACTGGTGATAATTTTGGTAGTGACTAGAAAAAATTAGGATTTCACCAAATTATTTTGGATCTCATACCCATTTATTAGCTCAGATAATGTTAAAAAGACTTCTAATTCTTGAGAAGTTATCTAAACCAGTGATTTGCAATTTTTTTTTGGCCAGGATCCACACTAAGAAATGCACTTTGACAACACAATATATATTTGAATGCATATTGACACTCATGACACAAATGAAACAAGTTTCAGAAAATCATGATTGCCTTTAGCATGATGGCCTTCTGCATTAGCTGATTCCATTCTGCCTTTTTTTTTTAAACCTGATGATCTCAACCAAGTTGGTCTCATTACTTGCAGTTAAAAACCTTTTTTTTTTTTTTTTTGGCATGCTGACAATCATATCTTTATTATTCAGTATGAATATGATAATATAGAGGATTCAGTTCTTAACAAATTCATCTAGTATTTTATTGCATTTTTTATTAAGATGTATTAATTATGCCTATTAATAGGGTTTTGTGTGATATTTCAGTATATGCAGACAGTGTGAAGTGATCAAATTCACCCTCCCAGTATCCCCGTCCCCTGCCCTGCTTGCTCATCAACCTCTAATAATCACTACTCCACATTCAGGTTGGCCTTTTTTTTTTTTTAACTTACACATATGAGAAAGATTTTTAACCTATGTGGTAAAGATAATGTGAGATAAATCTCCATCTACTTTAGAAGAGAAAATTATTCTTTGAACCCTGTAAAGTTGAGATTTTATCTGAGACTTCACTTTGCTATTATATGAATTTTAGGAACCTCTGCATCATGTCCAAGGTAAACATTTCTTATTGTATTTTATAACAAAATATTATAAAGTTAGTTTCTAAGTTCTTATAAAGACAGTCCTTGGTAAATGTTGTCTTTTACTTTTTATAAGTAAAATGTCTTTTGTAGAGGTTACAGTTTGCTATGTTAAAGGAGGTTTGTGAAAGTATCATGTATCTAATTCCTGTGCCAGTACACTTTGAGAATTTCTCAAAATTTTTTTTCTCATACTCAGCATCCTATGGTGATTTCTTAACATATTTTCTATCTCCCTGTAGACCAAGAAGATCTTGTTGATTTTGCATAGAATTAGTCTCTTGACTAACTGACCTTGCTTCCTTTACTTATTTTATTCAATGTGCAGAATTCCCCAGTCAGTGCTATAATATGTATAAATAATCATCTACAGCTCAGACTTCATACAGCATTAGGATTCTAATTCTAAGTGCTGTACTCAGTTTAAATCATTTATATTGTGTTGGAAAATAATAACTATAGAATGAATAGTGTTTTAGTCAGCTTTTTCATTGTCATGACTAAAGGACCTGACCAGCACAATTATAGAGGAGGAAGAGTTTATTTGAGGGCTCACGGTTTCAGAGGTTTTAGTCCATAGAGGGCTGGCTCTATTTCTTGGGGCTCAAGATGAGGCTGAACATCATGGCAGTGTGTGACAGAGGGATTCAGCTCATATTATGGTGATCAAGAAGCAGAGAGAGAGACTCCACTCTCGAGATACAGAATATATACCCCATAGCCGCATCCTAATTCCCACCTTCTTCAGCCACACCTTACTACTCCAGTTACCACTCAGTTAATCCCTACAGGGGATTAATTCACTGATTGGGTTAAGACTTTCACAACCCAATCATTTTTTCCTCTGAAGTATCTTGCATTRTCTAACACATGAGCTTTTGAGGGACACCTTACATGCAAACCATAACAAACAGCAACAGTTAATTGGGACATTAAGCAGGGAATTTAATACAGGATTTTATTTGATTTATGCTAGTAGGTCAATATTATGCTGTTTTCCATGTAAATATACTCTAGGCAAGGTGGGAACTTTGTGTTTTATAACTAGAAAGTTAAATGGTAAGTTGGAAGCCTATGGCAATAACTCTTAGGGAAAAAATATGTTAATTAAAATTAGAGTACTTCTATCTTATGCATAGGGAATATGTTTCAAGACCCCCAGTGGATGSTTAAAACTGAAGATAGTACCAAACCCTGTATAAACTGTTTTTATCCCTATGTGTTGTTCATTGTTGCCGTTTAACACCTAAGTTAATCTTTCCTTTTATGTTTTATGTTCTGGTGTCTCCTTTGCATAACTATTCTTGCATTTTGGGGTCATCATTAAATTAAAAAAAAGGTTTACTTGAATATAGGCATTGTGATATCATGCCAGTCAAACTGATAATCCAGACTGCTACTAAATAACAGTGGTATGTGGGGTGTTCAGTGTGGATATTCTGGATAAAAGGATGATTCAAATGGGTGGGATTGAGTATGATATGAGATTTCACCACAGCACACAATTTAAAACATGTGAAATTTTCATTTCTGGAATTTTTCACTTTATATTTTTTGCCTGTGGTTGATTGTGGATAGCTGAAACCATGGAAAGTGAAAACAGTGGGGGTACTTTGAAGAAAAGGTTATTTCTAATTATGAACACATTTATTGAAATCATTATGAGATTCTTAATTTACATTCTTTTTTAATATTTATTTTTTAGTTGTAGTTGGACACAATACCTTTATTTTATTTATTTATCTTTAAGTGGTGCTGAAAATCAAACCCAGGGCCTTGCACATGCTAGGTGAGTGCTTTGCTGCTGAGCCACAACACCAGCCCTTAATTTACATTCTTCTTTTTATAATTTTTTTATTGGTTGTTCAAGAAATTACAAAGCTCATGATATATCATCTTTCATACATTTGACTCAATTGGGTTATGAACTCYCATTTTTACCCCAAATACAAATTGCAGAATCACATCTGTTACACACTCACATTTTTATATAATGGCATATTAGTGACTGTTGTATTCTGCTTAATTTACATTCTTGAAGAAGCTAAAAACAGACCCTTTACAACAAATGTAATAAATGGAGTACAAAACACCAATACATTTTAAAGCTATTTATAACTTTACATGATTTATTCCAAATTGATTAACCCTTTTTAGCCAATATACAACCTAACAATAATAATATTCAACATCACAAAAAAAATTCAAGGCAGAAATATAAATCCATTAAGCATCTGATTTTTTCTATGATTTAGGTTTGAGAGATTATACAGCATAAGAATACACACACTGTCTATGGGACTATTACATACAAGAAATGCTTCTTGACAAGGACAGTTTTATATTCAGTTACAAAAGTGAATCAGCTTAAAAAATTATTAATCTGGGTGAGTAGCTCATTGGTAAAGCATTTGCTTAACATGAGCGCAACCTTGGATCCAATCCCTAACACCACAAAGAAGAAAAAATTCAATCAACTACTCTGTGTAAAGCTTCACAGAGTAGTTGAAGGATAAATATAGTGGGAGAAACAAAGTTGTAAAAGAGACAAGTGTATCAGAAATTTGTAACAGTTGAAATAAGGATGGGCTTGTAAACATAATTAGTAATACACAGTATAGGGTAGAAGCAAATGAGTGATATGGATGGCAAGTGCCATGGAGTCCAAAGAGAGAGACTGTTGTAGTTTATATAAATATTATTTGTACTCTATTTTATTGCACATAAGAGGTTCTTGACTATAGCTGATTGGCAAGGGAGTAGATTAAGGAGAGTTTGATAAAGAAGATAAACCCATAGTTGGAACTTTAAAGGAAGCAGGATAGAGGAATAAATAAGGAATAAATTATTCATGTGATAAGTATAGGGGATAAATACATATATGGCATGACTAAGGAAAAGTAACTGGAACAATTTGCTACATGTGAAAAAACAGGAGAAAAAGTGAGCAGATCTGAGGATGGATTCTAGAGCTCTCTGAATATTAGTCTAGTAGCTGAAACTTAAATTTACAGGTATTTTCAGAGTATATGTATGATGACTTTTGGGCTCAAACTATTTAACAGTGGGGAAGTTAGTTATATTAAGATTCTCCACCAGAATAGATTTAATTTTTCATTATTTTGCTTTCTGCTTTTAAAAAATTTTCACTCAGTTGTTTTGATTCTGGGATTTATTATGAATAAAATGTATATATGTAGTTAAATAGCAACATGATGAATTGGTATTCTGCCATATTGCTGAGACAAATTCTAAAACACTAGCTTACAAGAGAGAGGACTACATCTGAATAAAGTAACTGTTATGGAGTTGAAAAATCAGAAATGTGAAAAACGCATTATAGAGAAGAGATTTTATAAAGTTTATAGTCTTTTTAAATTTTTATTTGAATCACATTATACATAGTAGCACAAGGACTGAAAGAAAACTAGATGTGTTGAGTCTAGTTATGTTTAGATATGTATTTAATGAAATGTTGAAGAGCTGAAATCTGGAAATAGCCCAGATATCCATTGACATAGCCACTGGAATACTAATAAGTATTGAAAAGCAATGAACTGATTCATCAGTAACAGAAATGAATAGCAAAAACATTATGTTGGGTTAAAGAAGAAATGTACAAGAATGTAAACTGTATGATTCCATTATATGAAGTTCTAGAATAGGCAAAACTAATCTATAGGAATAAAAATCAGATTCATCAGTACCTTTAAGAGAGGGGATGAGGAACTGACTGGGAAGGGAGGTGGGGGAACTTTCTGATAGTGATACTGTTCTGTGTATTCATAGAGTTGTATGCATTTCCCAAAACTTTTTAAATGGTATATTTAAGATTTGTCCATGTCACCTAAAAAATTCATATGTGAATTTTACCTAAAAACAAAACAAAACAAAAAATAAATACTGAACTTTTGTGAATTTTTTTTTTTGCAGAAATTTTAGGACTGCCAAGTACTGAGGTCTTCTGCAAATTACTTTGAAATCCATAAAAAATAAACTCTTCTGGGAAGATGAAAATGTTTTGTATCTGTGCTGCCCAGTATAGAAATTACTAGTCAGATGTGCTCATAAAGCACTTAAAATGTGGTTAGTGCAACTGAGAAACTACAATTTTCATGTAACCTTAATTTAGCCACACATGGCTAGTGGCTAGCAGATTGCATAGTGCAATCTCTTGAGTGTGGCTTTCTAACTATTCGGGGGAAAAAAAGACCAATTACTTTAAATTTCCAATCTGTTATGCACTATTGTTTTTATAGAGTGAAATAAAAATTAAAAGACTAAAATGAAAAAAATCAAAGACACATAAAATGCCACCTTGATTTTTCTTAATATTAGGTTTAACAATTTAATCACTCTGTCAAAATTGTTACAAAATTTCTGAGCTGCCTCTGAATTTTATATCATCACATATCAATGACAAATAGTTCCCAGATTGGCAATGGTCATGGATCACAATTTGAACTAGGCAAAAGTCTTTTGATCAACATACCTAAGAATAAATAATTTTCTAAAACCAACTCTTTATATTAAAATTACTGGTTCAGGTAATTTTTTTCAGACTTAAGTATAATTCAGTAATGCAATTACTGATGTAATAGTTAACACTCTTTGTAGCAGGTCTTGTCTAGGACAGCTGAGTATTGACAGTGCAATGTGGACAACCTCAAGGTCGACTGAGAAGGCTTATTTGATCCAGAGAAGCCATTTTTGCAGTTGGAGGTATAAGCAGAAAATTCCTTCCTTCTATAAAGTTCAGCCCGACGTTTACAGCAGCCAAATTTGCTCAGCAACAGAAAGAAATCCCTTCGGAATGCCTTTGTGAAAATTGCATATAGAAATGGGTTGGCACAAGAATTGACAGGATAAAAGAGAACCAGTAAAACTTTAGAGTTGGTGACTGTGATAAGAGGAACTTTGAAGGCAGCTGAGATGGCAAAAAAAGAGATAGGTGCCATGCAGGTAAAGTCAGTGAAGATGAGGATTGCCATTTTCTTAGCAATCTTTGTATCTTTGTTGGTAGCCATCAGCTCTGGATTTTGAACTGCAAAATAAATTTTAATGTAACAAGCACAAATGATGATGAAGGCTACCACGTTGAGTATCAGGATAGTTAATATGTAGACTTGCGAGAGAGTGGTTTCCACATCCATGGGGAGGCAGATGCTGACCTTCATGTAATTGCTGACACCCACGAGGGGCAACATGGCAATCAGAGTAGAAAAGAGCCATCCTCCAAGCATAATTGGAATGGCATGTCTCAATCGAAGCTTTTGGTCCAGCTGAACAGCATAGGTGATGGTGTGCCATCTTTCTATAGTGATGACTGTAAGGGTGTAGACTGAAAGTTCGCTTGCAAATACTGTGAAAAAGCCAGCAGCACTACATCCACTCCCTGTCTGCCAATCTATGGCATGATTATAGTACTGGCCTTTTGTCTGGAAATCAACTGAGGCAATGAGGAGCAGATAGAGCCCCATGCAAAAGTCTGCAAAGGAGAGATTGCACATAAGAAAACGGGGGACTGTCAGTTTGTAACGACTGGTCAGAAGAACAAAAAGGACAGTCAAGTTTCCCATGATGGCCAGAATATTAATCAGCCAAATCAGAACTCTAAGGAAGTCATAGCCCATAATATCTTCACAGGGGTTAAAAGCATCTGGTTCAGGAGCACATCGGAGAGTCTTTGGCAAGCAGAAACCATAATCATAGTCCCAGCCACTCAGTTCACTCTCAGCAAAGATAGCAGAATAACTGTAAGAACAATATTGGCTTGATGTAAACTTAAGAGATGTTTTTATGATTCTGAGTATTGAAAAAAGTTCAAGAATCATCCTTATTGTGTTTTTAAAGCCTAAGAAACAAGAGAAAAAGACACAGCAGCCTCAGCCTTACATTTATTTGTTAGATTATCTGATTTGATAGTTCCTTAAGGAGGGAATGAAAAACCAATTAGACTATATTTTATATGTGTGTGTGTGTCACATTGATGCAAAGACTTAATGAAACTGTTTACAGAGGATGATTTTCTTTGGAAAACAAATTTAGAGGCATAATATACACTTTGCTAAATCTAAAATAATCCTTTCTTGGCATTTTCTTAGCTATTTATCTCATTTAGTTGCCAACCAAACTGCTACTAAGCTGTTTGTAGTAGCCCACAAATGGGATAGGAAGGCTTGCAGTTTTAAAATCATCAGCTACCAGTGGACTTGTTTGACCTTAAGTCCCTGGCTAATAAAAATGAGGAATAGAAACCAAGGACAGATTACTAAAAACCTAAGAGAAGAGGATGAATAGTCATGGACAAAAGGAAGAAGTAGTGAAAATAGACATTTCTTAGGAATATGAGGCAAAGACTCTTCCTAGTAGAGGAACAGTTTTACTTCTGCCACTCCATTCCAACCCCATTGCGACTCCTCTCATGTTTTCATCCTCTCTCTTGGGGCAGTTACATTGCTTTTCTTCTTGACATCCTTTCTCCAATTTTAGCTCTCCCCATTCAAGCCTGTATATTCCTCTTGGAATGACCTTTTCTAAGTTATCTTCAAGGTTTGGGTCTAAATTACTTCCTTGGTTGGGTCCTGTCTACTTTTTCAGTCTCATTTCTGAGAAGCAGAAGTGCTGTACAATACAGAGCATGGTCTCTGAAGGGAGACTGCCAGGGTTCAGGCCTGGCATAGCAGCCTCCAGGCTGCAGACAACCTATAAAGTTAATTAACATCTCTGTGCCCCAAGTTCTTCATTTGCCAAATAGGGATAATAATCATACCTTYTTTGTTAGGGCTATGCTAAGAATTAAGTGCATTAAGATATGTATAATGTTTAGAAAAATTATTGACATAATACCAGGAATTCCAGTAGTTATCACTTGCAAATCTCCCATGCACTTTTGGTCACATGAGACTACTTGTAAGTCTCTGAATGAAGCAGTTCTATTGTTCATTCCTTTGTCTTCATATGTGTTGTTTCTTCTGCCTGGAATTTTTTTCCTCTCTGGTGATTTCCTCCTCATTCTTAAAGCCAAGTTCCTCTATAATGGCTTTCTTGATTCTCCTCCCCAAGGAGTTTAWTATCTTTCCTCTCTGCTAGGTTGCACTTAGTACTATTGGAGTTATCAAAACATATTGCAATGAAGTGATGATACATGTCTGTCTTTAATAGTCTCTTMGTTTCTAGAAGACAGGGGACTCAGGTCTTATTTATTTCTGAAATAACAGTGTTTAGCACAGTTTTGGCTCAGAGTGTCCTTTCAATAAATGTAGAGCGAATAAATCTAAAGCACAACAATCCTGGCTCTGAAAGGAATTGATAGGGTACAGGAACAATGAGCATATCCTGCATGATGCAGGTGGGCTCAAATCTTTTCTTATTACACTCTGCTAATATAATCTTGAGAACTGGAAAAGCAGGTGTAATTTTTCTGTAAAGACCATTACAAATATGTATTTCACCTTGGGGTCTCTCAAATTAGTAGTATTTTTCTCTTTGAACTTCTTATGTTCTGTATTAGGAGTATGTGTCTAATTTAGTGAGTGGTTGAAATAATATATTTGAGGAATATAATACTGAAGGAGGAAAAAAATAAAAAATGTTCTCTGAAAATTTTGAAAATATCATGGAGACCAGTTTGGAACTACAGAAGGGCTGCTTTATACAGAAGGCTGCACAGAAACCTTATCTGTTTTATTATTAAATATCTTTAAAAACAATACATTTATTTTTCTTCATATGACAGGCATCAACATAATTATTTTTAATCTCTAAATAGAAAAGATTGTTATAAAGAACTATTAAAATTAGTGTTAGGTCCTTACACACCATCTCATTGAGTCTTCATTTTATTAGTGAGTGACTTACCYGAGGTCCCTCTGGAGGACCGTGGCAGCATGGGGTTCCACATCCACTGTCCAGAGGCCCTTGCTCTACACCTCACTATCTGTTAGTGTTTTTCAAAGTGTGGTCCTCACCACCTGCATCAGAATCACTAGGACGTTTGTTAAACTGCAGATTCCTAGCTTCACTCCAAGCAAGCCCCGATTCAAAATTTCTAGAGACAGAGCCCAGAAATCTGCAATTTAAGCAGGTTCTTTGGATGATTCATATAAAATACAGGCCAAAAATCAGGTAAAAATGTTTCAACTCTTGCTGTCTTGATTGCCTTTACTCCTTTCCCCTAATCAAAACTACTTCAGCTGCTAGAAGAAATAATTTAAAATTTCTAAAAATTCTGGCATGATTTCTGAATAAATTAAAATCAATAAAAGGTTCAACATGTTCCCTTCCTCCTTCCTCCTTGGTCCTTTGTCCTTTCTTCTTTTGCCCTACCTGTCATGTGTCTAGTAGTTTTTCTCCTTAGCGATTTGTCTTCAAACCAAATACCCACCTGCTGCTACTAACAAGTGTGTCCAGGGATGGCTCCTGAGGGAAGCCTGTTGCCTATTGAAAAGCCCAGCAGGGAACTGTCCTTAGTACTGGAGGCTATGACAGGGAATGTTAGTGGCTCACAGGGACCCAGTTAGAGGAGGCAGGAACAGTAGCACCACTGTTCCAGTTACAATTAAGAAAGAAAGGGAAAAGATGGGAATTTTAGGACAGTGGGGTCAGCCACAGCAGTGAGAGTACCAATCTTATCTTGGAAGAACTGATAAGGCTTAGTGGCTGGCTTTAGACCCCAGAGACTAGCTCTCTGGTGGGAAATGGGAGGTAGGGGATTTATCATTAAAAATGTTTTCACAGGGAGCCATTTAACTTAGATTATGTATGAACGTTGTGTAATTTTGGGGATGTTAGAGATTAGGGGATTTGTCTTAAAGCAGCATTAGCATAGTAAATTTGAGGTTTCATGCTTATTTGGGAAACCTTGGGGTGGGGGCTGATGAAGATTATTGAGTGTGGGTTAGAGTTTCTCTTCCCCCTACAAAACATCCCTTTGTGCCACCATTGACTGAACCCAGAAATGGTTTCCCATTGATGAGTATAAAGCCATGTGTTTGCCAGAGAGTCATGAGTGGTGAGTGGTATTGAGAAGGGAGGGACCAGTGGAGGAAAGGAACATGGGAGGACAGAGTGTCAGACCCAAATGAAAGGAAACGAAGGAGACTGAATAATAAGAATAAAACCTATGCTGATGCTATCATATTCTTTTACAACTCCTATCACTCTTATGGTTCTAAAAGCCAAATGATATTTATGCTGCTTCTTATAGATGAGGGCAAAAGTCTCAAAAAGAAATTTATTGTTCAGCAGTCCCCACTCATTGCAGGAACATTACTGTCAAACTCTGAGGAACCCTGAAGCTCAGGCCTTCCCCACACGGCCCTGCTGCCTCTGTGTAACTCAGAGATTAATGGGGGTGGAGGAGAGAAGAGAAAAATAATAGAAATTGGCAAGGTCTCTTAGAGGGGCACCTGGTTTTGTCTAAGGAGACATGGGAGGACTAATAATATTTCTAAATCTCACTAAATGTGGCATAGGGACACTGGGATTATCTTTTGAAGTGTGCTCTTTTACAATTGAAGGTAAGTGAATGCCAAGGCAGACAGTATTTAAAGCAGGAAAAACGTTAAAAATTAGTAGAATGGAAATGTAGCTCCTGTCCATTGYATGATGATGATGGCATTTTGATTAATATAATGCTTAGGGGTATAGTGGTCATGTAGCCTAAGTCCCTTTGAAAGGAATTGGTTACTTTCAAAAGCTATGTCTGCAATCAGTTTACCTTTGTGGAATGCTGACCATGTGACTATTGAAAATTCCTACAAATGAAACTTATTATTTAGATCAGCCTTTAGTGATATGCAAATACCTGAAAATAAAATTTTTTAAAATTTTAATTTAAATGTAGAATGAACATTCAGGTACATTTTAAAAATAGGCTTCTTAAAAACCATTTAAAATACCTGTACAACTAGATGCTACTTGCAAAAAGAATTTTCCATTTTAAACTATTAAAAAATATCTTACAAACATACCTTAACCAATACTTTTATCAAAAGAAAGTCGTTGGTACTGATAATAATAAGGTGCACACAGAGTAAGACATGGCTTCCTGAGTTTCTTTGCATGCAAATACTTACAGTGTTTCATTATTTGGTTTTCTTACTGTGCTTTCACATTGTTTGGAAAAGTTTTCAAAAATGGAAAATGAAAAATTCTGTCTGAAAGAGAAGAAGTAAAAAAAAAAGCAATTGAGCTTTTGGTTTTTAAACTAAACCTAATCATGTCTATTTATGCTTTGTTCATCCAAGTTCTTTACCTAATACACCAGGGGACATTTTCTGCACCATTGTCCTAACTGAAATGCTTCCCGAGGAGAGAGTAAAGCCTTCTGARTTGTCATTAGTGCTCCTCCAGTTTAGATAGAATGCTTCTGAATGCTAAATGTTTTGTGTGGGCTCTAGAGATGAAAACTCTTAAAATTGTCATAGTGAATCAAGTTTTCTTTTTTAATGCTTATTAAAAGCTACCTTAATGGTCTATTAAAGTTTGCTGCTTACCAACTCTCCTGTCCATATTGGCCTTGATTAATAATCATTCAGAGTTTATGACTTTGAATGAATTATAACAGAGACTCTTCTTGTAAGGATTTGAGGATGTTTGACATGACAGTACAATGTGAATTTTAGTTTTTTTTTTTTTTTTTTTTTTGCTTATGGGCAGAAACCTATGTGGATGCTGCCTACACTTCCATCTTCACCTCTAAGTTTAGCTTATGGAAAGGGGAGAAATGCCAAGAAAACCAAAGAAAGTGTGTAAACTTGCCTAAAGGAGTATTTACCTAGGGATGAAACCTATGGCAGTGATAAAAATGAATGAAGAGTTGGGATAAAGGAGAGCAGGCTCCAAGAGCCTCAGCTTTCACTGAGGAAAAAAGAGAAAGGCTGTCCAATTACARGGCTGTCCTTGTAATTCTAATCAAGAAAGACTTCTCTTGAGTTGTTCTTCTGCAATATCAATGAGACAGTTCCTTGTAGAAATAACTTTGTACAAAAGCAGAAAGTTGGGGAGTATGTCAGAATTATTTGATGTGCCAGACTTTCAAAAATTAATCAACTTGTTATTTTGGGTTATGATTGTAAATTCTTAAAATGTATCAAATTTTTTTGGGGGGCGGATGGTGGATGGATTCACATGTTGGCTTTGAGTATCTGACACTGAGAGCTCTTTTGTGGAAACAAATCCACAGTTAACAAGATATGTGCTTGTTCTTGGTCTTTAAATGATAATACTATTATCATTTAAAGTACTGTCCACTCCATCTTCTTTAAAGTTTTAATTATAGATACCAAAGAAGTCTTGGGAACCATTTGCCCAGGCAGCTGTGTGAGTTGTCCAGGCAGAGGGATGACTCAAAGTTTGCACCAACATCTCATAGGCCCTACTTGAGGTTCTCCATCCTCACTGGTAGCTAAGGCTTTAAGCTTTAGGGTCACAAAAGGAGTTAGTTAAAGCTTGTAATTCTAATCAAGACAATCTCTGTGTAACTATGTTCCCATCTTAGATTGATGCTGGTCCATAATTGTGCAATCCTCCCCCCACCAGAAATAGTCTCTTTCATCTACTGTAATAGAAGTTTTAAAGTTTTACAATTTATTACTTTCAGAAGGGATGTGGCCTCTACACCACATAGTGTAGGTATCCAGAATCAGCTTTACCATACCTCAGCATCTCTATTTTCTCTAAACTGGTCACTCACCAGCTTTGGTCACCTTCAGCCCATCCTTCACCCTGCTTGCCAGGGTGATATTTTGTGAAAGCAAATTTGAGTAATCTTGCTTTAAATTCTTTATGCCCTTCTATCCTCTAGACAACTTTGGCTGGCACTCAGAACCCATCATGGCCCAATTCTCAATGGCTTCTCTCCTGACACATTTTCCTCCACACACCCATAAGTCTTCTTGTTCTGCTTTTTCTGAATGACATTCATCTAGTGTCTCTTGTGTTTGTACTTTTATATGACAAATTCCATCTTCTTGGCATGCTTTCCCCCTCATCTGCTCTCCACAGCTCAGCACAAATCACCTCCCTTAGGAAGCCTTCCTTAAACCCTGCTACCATTTAGAAATTGTTCTTCTGTGCTACCAGAACATTCTGCTTTGTTCTCAACTATGTTATAACATCTGCTATATTCTGTGTAGATATTGGGTTATTTATTTGTGTGTCGCCCTATACTCTGAAAATTGGACTGAACTCTTACTCATCTTTTCATCTTCAGACCTGGCCCAGTGTTTAGAACACAGTAAGTGCTCAATTAATGTTTGTTGAAGCTCAGTTAGTGGTGCATAACTTTGAACACAACAAGTGTTTTGTCTTCTCAGCTCAGTTCACCTATGCAAAGCACACATAATACATGCTGGTTATAAATAAGTTATAAAGAAGTTGAATCCAAACAAAACCAGCAGCAGCCTGGTGTCACTGTCTCAGTGCCTTATTAATTGATTGAGAATATTTTCATAGACTGCAGTAATAATCCTTCAGGTGAGTGGTTCCCCCTCCAACACTCGTGAGTTGTGTCCCATTAGTGGATCTTGAAAACAATAGAATGCATCATGACTGGTAGTAAAAACAAACATGAAATAGAATGGAGTAAGACGGAAAGTATCAAAATATGTCACATATTTAAAAGTTACATATTGCTTTGCTTTGTTTTATTTCAGTTACATATATGATAAGTGTATTGGCTTCAATACAAAAAAAGGTATTTTTTTACTATGAGTCTCAGTCAAAAAAAAAAAATCTGGAAAACAACCCTCTAAAGGAGAGAATGAAATCTGGAGTGAACCAAATCAGTAAGATGCAGTTTACTGGACATAAACTAGCCAGGAGCGCATGCCCTGTCTGTTTGCATGACGTTAATCCTTAGGGAATTTGGCTTTCTTTTTGAAATGAATGATGTTCTTCAGTGAGAAATAACTTTAAAAAACCCCTTCTATAGTTTTTTTTGGTCCATATTTACTAAAAAATAAGATATTAGCTAATTTTTACTCTTCTTAGCCTACTTCCCCCACTTCTTTAAAGATGATGCTCTCTGATGAGGATTGGAACTAATTGATCTTTGAGATGCTGGTTTTATACTTCATTTTGTAATTGCTAAAGTAGGCTATCATTCAGTTAGCCCAGAATTGATCACTGAGGTTTTGTGGTTACAGGGTCAGTAAGTGATTTGGCAGCACTTTTTTTTTTTTTTTTTTTTTTTTTGGTACCAGGGATTGAACCCAGGGATGTTTAACCACTGTGCTACATTCCCAGTCCATTCCTAGTCCTCTTTATTTTTTATTTTGAGACAGGGTATTGCTAAGTTGCTTAGGGCCTTGCTAAGTTGCTGAGACTGGCTTTGAACTTGTGATCCTGCTTCATCCTACCAAGATGCTGTCTGGTGTGTGCYACCATGCCTGGTTGGTAGCATTTTTTGTGAGAAAACAGGGGAGCTCATTTTCTTCTGTATCTGAGAGTGACCTCGTGATTATGGAATTGGCCTGGAAGGCAGGGAGTAAAAGTAGAGAGAGATCCCCATTAGTTGACTATCTTGAGAGCTGAGTCTCTGCCACATGGGTTGGCTTTACATTTTGTTTTTTACTTACTCTTAATTTTTWAAAAAATTTTAGTTGTAGATGGACACAATACATTTATTTTACTTATTTATTTTTATGTTGGTACTGAGGATCGAACATAGTGCCTCATGTGTACGAGGCAAGTGCTCCACCTCTGAGCTGCAACCCCAGCCCTACTTACTCTTTGGTTGGCAAGTTCCTAAAGGCACAGCAGTGGCTGGGGTAAGTCAGTGTGGCATCCACAAGATTGGTGAATTTTTCTCTCGATGGCAATTTTTTTAGATAATAGGATGATGTGGCAATTAGCGTCTGAATGGACTCCAGACCATAGCTTGGCAGGGCCTGTAATTTGGTGGAAGAAATATCCCTGAACAATAAAGAAGGAAAACGTTTTTATTTATTTATTTTATACATTTTATTCAGAGAACGAAACCTCCCCTCAATAGTCTGTCATTCTAAGTTGTTAGAACTCTTTTCTCCATTTTTGTTTTTCCTTTACTTCTCTTAGTTACCCTCATTAAGATCTGAATTCAAAAAAGTCATTCCATGGGTTTTTTCCACTTCATGTGCACCACATTATTCTTTTCAAGATTGAGTGTAACTCCTTGTACCTGCCTTGACTCTTCCCTCTCTAGATTCCCTTTTCCCATTCTCTTTCTCCCTTCTTCCACTTAGTAGAAGTGAAATAACTACTTGCTTTCTGAGAGAGTGGGCACATGCAGTGACATCAGCTTTTGTGCTCATTCCTGGGGTAAATATTCAGGACTTTGATGCCTTTGATTTATGAAGCCCTGCAGGAGAGGTTTTCATGAAACCTAGGCTGGCTACCTCATTAACAGCCGCCTTGTGGCATTTACCATAATCTGCCTGGGAAACTGAATATTTTCTAGTGGCAGGCTGGATGCATCTATCCAAAGTAAGCAAACACTTCTGCCATGTAAGCAGAGCTGTGTGGAAGGAAGTCTGGGGCTCTGCAAATAACCTGAACTCTTCAGTTTTACTAGATTTGAGGCCATGTCCAAGAAAATAGCAAACATGTAAAAAATCAGGAAGAAGAGAAGTCAGTGGGGATTCAAAAATTCTGCTCATCTTCTAAATACTTGCTACTGGTGCCCCTTGAGACTTCCAGCAGCACAGCACCCCTCAGCAGTCTGACCCAGTACTTGGTGCCCAGTGTGTGGGAGGGGATCAATAGGTGATGGATGGAACATGAACTTGACAACATGGAATGTGACTGGCATAGACAGCAGAATTTACCTCAGGAGCTTCAGACTTCCTATTGCTTCTATGTCCTGGTTGATTTMAGTAAACCAGTGTTCTCATTCTGCTTTACAGAGTTAACATTTCAGCTGTGTTAGGGATTGAGCACAGAACTCTTCGCAGACTTGCTTTTTTTTTTTTTTTTCTGAGTGTATATGTTTAAAATTAGGATCTTAGAAATGGCAAGACCTTATTACAAAGGAGGAACTCTGAGAGTGGATTTTCAGTCTCAGTGACAGATTGGGGTAGGGGGAATATAATATTGAGGGGCAGAAAGGATGCTTCTAGACACCATCTCAATCCTGGAGGTGCAATGAGAACTCTATCTTGGGAATGAAGAGACCTAGGTCTAGCCCCACTGTTCCAAAAATGACAGCATAGGTACTTGCAGTACCCATAGTCATTCCTAAGCAGCCCACCAAGCAGCTCTTCAGGACTGTCACTCAGGGCTCTTCCAGCCACCCTAACAGTCATGTTCTGTACTGAGCCAGAAGCAGCACACTGTCCAGTGCCAGTGGGGGGTGGGTAAGATGGAGAGTATTCAGCCAGCCTGCAAGACTGGTGTCTTTCTAGTATGAGGACATGTAGAAAAGATCTCTTAGGGCCTAGTGGTCAGAAGCTGGGAGACAACAGAGAAAGCAATAGGCAGGAGGCACCAGCTAAAGGGAGCCCTGAGGTTGAATATTTAGGATTGATTGTGTCAAAAGTCGGAGAACAGAAAGAATCCCAAATTTTAGTGGTGGGTGTTAGGAAGAGCCAGAGGTTGATGGGGGAGGAAATTAGATTCAGAATGAATAGCCACTGGAGCTAGGAGTGGATAACACCAGGAATTGGTAGTTGTGGGAGCTAGGCAGTGGCTGGATAGAAAGTAGAGCAGGTGTGGGTAGGTGTTTGGACTTGACAGCAGAAAGAAGTAGGAAGTGGACAAGAGTTTGGGGTTTATAGTGGTAGGAGAGAGTCCTGGGTTGATCCTGGCAGGATCTAGGATATAAAGAATAACTGGGACAGTTCATGTCCTTCTTCTGATCCAAAATTATGAAGCCTCCCCATCTCGCTAAGAGCAAGGTTAAGCCTTTTAGTGGCTACAAGATCCTGTGACCCTGCTTTGTCACCTCTCTTGATTTATGTTCCCTTACTCACTCCTTTGCCATGCCTCCTTGTTATTCTTCAAACACGCAAGGCAAGATTCTGCCTCAGGGCCTTTGCTCTTGCTGTTCTATCTCCTGAAATGTTTTTCTTCCAGATACTCACACAATTTGCTTCCTCACTCCTTTCATACATGTTTGTTCAACTGACACTTTTTCAGGCACTCTTCCTTGGCCATCCTCTTTAAAATGGTAACTCTGCCTCTCAAGAACTTCTTTCCCGCCCTCTAGCTGAATTTTTCACCTCTGTAACTGACACCATGTGGCTTCCTACATGTCTGTCTTTCCCTATTCTATAAAGGAGAAGATGTTTGTCTTGTCTCATTCTGTGCTATTTCCCTATTGTGTAATCCAATGCCTGGCACATGATTTGAGCTCTTAAAGGAGTTGTTGAACAAATTAATGAATGGATCAACAAATAAACTAAGTTATCCTGCTTTTTAGCACATTTTTTTTTACATTTTAAAATAACATGCCTATTTATTGCTTTGTCTCTTTATCGTTGTCTTCCTGTGTGACTGTAATCTCTTTAAGGACAGGGACTAGAGCTGTTTTGCTCAACACTGTCTCTCCATCCTGGTGCTTGGTGAGCAGGAGGGGTTTGTTGAATGAATAGCAGCTCACTAGAGTGGGAAGTAATGGACTGCACCTTTGTGGAGAGGGTGAAGTGATCTCCCATCTTAGAGCTGGAGAGCATCTGGAACCTTGTCTCTCTGAGCCCTGCCTGCAGCTGCAATTCTCCTCTGCAGGATGTTTCAGGTTTTTCAAGGCTTCACCAGACTACTGATTCGATTTCCTCTTCCTCCTAATTTTCCCACATGTCCTTACCCTAAACTCCTATAAACTGAGAAGCATGGCTCAGTCATTGTATCATCTGAGAGTGTGATACGCCAAGTACCAAGGACAAGTCAGAATTCTGGCCTTGGATTCCATGAGTGGATCCCAGGCAGGTAGCCATCCCATCTGCTAGCACACGAAACTACCCTCCATATTTGGTAGTACTGATTGAATTATAGTTCCTTCAAATTCATATGTTGAGGTCTTAACCCTGGTCCCTCCAAATATGACCTTGTTTGGAGATAAGCTCTTTATAGAGCTAACCAAAGTAAAATGAGGTCATTAGGCTGAGTCCCAATGCAGTATGCCTGTTTTTTTTACAAAAAGGGGAAATTGGAAGTCACACTCACACATGCACACAGAATGCCATGGGAGAGTGGAGTTATGCTGCCACAACCAGAAAGAACTACCAGAAGCAAAGAGAGAGGCCTGGAAGATTCTTCCCTCACTGCCCTGAGAAGGAACCTAACCTGCTGATACCTTGTCTTTGGACTTCTAGACTCTACAGCTGAGAGACAATATGTGGTGCTTTATTATTGGCATCCCAAATACATTGGGACTTTTCAGCTGCAGAGGCTGATGCTTTGCAAACCAGGCTGAGCACACTGASTAGGCCAGTCGGGGTACATTGGGTGGGAAAGGGAGGCAACACCACCGTACTCACAAGATGCTGGGCCCTGTGGCCCCCCTGAAGGCTCCATTGTGCATCTTCTCCAGGTGTATGTTTTCTTTTAGTTCCCTGTGGGAAAGAACAGTTTCCTTAGTGGAGTTTGCACCTTATGTGTACACACACTTTTGGACAGTGTGCAAGATTAGGAGAGGGAAAGAGGAACTCTAGGAAAAGTGGAAAAAAGACATGCTGGCCCTTGCTGAAATTGTGTGATTGCTGGCATATGTGTTTGACTCCACCTTTTCTCTGCAATGTCTCCCTCACTTGGTGCAGCCCTTTGTCCTACAATGCACAACTCACCCCTCCTGTCCTGAAGTTGTGAGAGTTTGCTACCAGACAGCTGGGTGAGGATGAAAGGCCAAGAGGCCAAGACTGGAGTGTTAATGGGCAGCCTGCTCTGTGTCAGACCAGCAGCAGCAGTGACCTTGAAGGGCTCTCAGTTTGTCAATAGTAATATATTGAAGTTTGCAAATACTTAACAAAAAAAGTAGGGCTTATTCAAAGTCAACCTTGTCATAAGTTGCATTCTTTTTCTTTCAAATTTGCATTTCTCAGGGGGTGAGCATGGGGTGAGATCACAGCCTGAGGAGACAATTGCCCCATACCCTGTGTATGGGTCTGTACCGCATAGACAACTGTGTGTGTGTGTGTGTGTGTGTGTGTGTATATATTATGCAAACAACAGTGCTAAGGGCCACTATTCTGAAAAGTGCATGAATCCCCAAACTGCTGAGGCAGTAACTACACGAGGGCTCTGTGCCCCATAGCTCAAAGCAGCTCAAGCTAAATTACTGAGGAGCAGCACAGGCTGGCCCTGCCAAGAGACCTCTTGTCCAGTCTCTGACGCAGAGGGTCTCCTGAGCACCAGGCTCTTTGCTGGTTGGACCAGAGACCTAGAAAAGGAGTCCCTGGGCTCAGGCCTGCCAGCCTGAGTATTTTTTTTTTTCCAATAAGAGTTGTGTCTAAAAGAACATTTTGGAAACCCTGGATAGTAGGCACAATGTTTAAGCATCCATTATTAGTGTGATGACTTGCACCATGGGAATGAGTCTTCTGCATTATCATTATAGTGTGACACAGCAAAACAAAGACAGCAACAGCCACTCCCTCCCCTACAGAAAGACTGGGAATCACTAGTGCTCATCTCATAACTTTACATCTCCTTTACCAGCTTTCTGCACGTTTGCATATCATGTCTGCCAGTTAGAAAATGCAAGAGCCCTTGCATCTCATTCTCTGGGTGATGGTTTTCCACACGCTTCTACTCAGCCCTTTCCTCGGAAGCCCTCAGCCTTTCATCAGAATGCACCTGTCAGTCTCGCAGCCTCCCATCCCCTGGGTGCACTTTCACTTTCAAAGAGATGAGGTTGTCAGAGTCAATTGCTGTTTAAAATCTAAATCAAAAGAAAATTTCCCTCCTAAACCTCCACAGTTCTTCTTCCTGATTCAGTTTGTTTTAATTATGTTCAGTTATAGTTATAAATCGTTGAAATGGGGCCCAGTGAGCAGATAATCCTCATGTCAGCCAGGTCAAATTAATTGTTTGAATTTCATGACAGAGCATTTCACATGTTTTATTAAAACTTGGATCTTTCTGTGTACTGGTAACTCTGCCTTATGTTACTTTGTCAAAAAATAAATCCATTTAGCACATTTTCCTGGGGGTCATCTTTTGAGGATTCTCCCAAGTGACATGACTAACCAGGTGTGAGAACCAGAGACAGGCAACCATTTTCAGGCACAGTGTGAGAACCCACAAGCTCCACCAAAGCCTCCTAACTGGTGTGCTCTGATAATGGGAGGGACTGACTGCCAGCCCCCTGCAGGTGTCTGAGGTGGGCTTCTGGTATTGCTCCTCTCTGTCCTGACCACCCATAGTGAGTAGGTGTCTGAGCATGTTGCAGACTTCCCCATCATTGCTCTAAACAACTCTGGATATGAGGGAGGTGTCAGAGACTGGGCTGAATGTATAGTTTTTTTTTTTWAATTTATTCCACTTTGTTATATATGATATATGACAGCAGTATGACTGTATAGTTTAAGAATTTTGTTTTTACAGTTTGGAAAACTATTCCCTCAGTCCTGTTTAAACTCTTCAGTGTGTATCTTTGCTCTTAGAAGAGATTCATACTCCTTCTGCTGGCCTGTCAGTCCTTCAGGACTTGCTTCTGCAATTTCTGCAATGTCTCCAGTTTATCTCTTGCTGAAGACCCTCTAGCCACAGAGGCTTCTTCTCAGTTCTTGGTACTTGCCAGCTTCTTTTTTTTTCCCAACTCAGGTCCTTTGCATACACTGCTTCTGCTTTCAGTAATATGTTTCCTCATTATTGCCATGGTGACTCCTTTTCAATTTCTGAGCTCAACTTAATTATCATGTTTTTGATGAGGCCTTCCCCAAACTACCTTGTCCAAGTCATTCACCTTCTGTACTCTCTCAGATCTCCTAATGGGTTATTTCTTCATAGCACATATGACTACTTTTAATAACTTTATTTATCTATTTACTTGCCTTTTTGTCTGACTCGTTTGCTAGAAAAGAAATTTCATGAAGGCAGGGACTGTGTCCACTCTTTAATTGTAGACTCAGCACCTAACACAGTGTCTAAGATATTGGTGGTGCTTAATAAASATCTGTTGAATGAATACATGAATAAAATTAATTTGTGTTCTTGGCAATCTGATCTGGATTTTTTTGTTTCTTCTTTCTTGCTATATGAGGTACAGGAGGATACAAACTTTTAGTTAATTGGACAGTTCTCATTTTGGCACCCCTGTGACAGCTGAGACACTATGGAGTACCTGAATACTTCCTCCTGCTGTTTTTCCTGACCTCCCAAAGCAGTGCTCTGCTGGATTCCCTCCCACCTCTCTTTGCTCTTGCTCTGGCTTCTCTTCCTCATCTCTTGTTTCTCCTAATTGCATATTCAGTCCTCTTATTTTCTCCCTTGTCTAGGTGACATCAGTCACGAAGGACTTCAGATACCCTTTGTTCAGAAAATCCCAATATTTGTGTCTATAGACCTGCCCTGTCTCTTCCAGCCTCTGTCCTTCCTCTTAATACATGAACTTTCTTTATGCCCATTTCTCATAGTTTCCATCCAAGAACTTTCAATGGCTTCTCATTTCTACAGCGTCCAAATTCTTTACTCTGGCATTGAGGCTCTTCCCTCTTTAACCCTAACTCACATCCACCACTTTGTACACAGTACTATTTGTTGGTTTATGAACACATCCCCTGCTTCCTTCTTTTCTCTGGGCTATTCTTTCTGCCTTCTGCCTGGAATACATTTGCTTACCCTYATTGTCTGCCCCAATTAGGCCCAGCTTAAAGCCCACCTCTGACCAGGCTTGCTGTAACTTCCTTTCCTCCTGTCTTTGAAATCCCAGGGGACTCTCCTCTCCCAGTGCAGGTGCCACACTGTTGCCTTCTGTTTTAGCTACAACTTAGTGTACAGATAATGTACCATTTGGAAATGCCTCTTCATTGGCTGTAAATGCCTATGGGGCAGACCCYAGTGATTATTCATCTTTATTTCTTCTCAAAATATAGCATGTTCCTCCAAACACAGCTGATGCCTGCTAGACCCTTGTTGAGTGAATGACAGAATGAGGCATCTGAGAATACTAGACAAGGAGAGGCTATACATGCCTCTGATCTGAGTTTGACAGAAACAGATTCAATTGGCCAGGGTAAACCCTTCACCAACTCCAGGGTCTTGTTAATCAACCCTTCATTAAATCAAGCCAAGAGGAGAAAATGAGGGCAGATTCAGTCCATGATTGAAAGGACAACTTTTTTTTTTGTTGTTGTGTGTGTGTGTGTGTGTGTATTTGCAAATCATAAGGAAGTTTGTATTGGGTCCTGTACAGGAGAGAAATGCTCAGTTGTCCAAAACAAAACAAAACAGAAGAAACAAAACAAAAAAMCCAACAACTACAAACAGACCCCTGGCTCTGGGATGGATGGTGGTACGTAGACAGAGCTCCCTCCCCAGCTAAGTCCAGGGTCAATGTCTTTATAAACACAGCAAACAAAGTGTGGGAGAGAGCCCCAGGGTCCTCTATGTGGGGTCCTCCCCTGAAATTTCCTATCAACCAGGACTGGAGTGATTTGGGAGGRCTGAAAGGACAACTTTTAAAAAGCTACCATTTCTCTAGTACTTACTATGTACCAGATCCTATATGACCTCATAAAARTATAATATTATTTAATTATTTATTCATCATTGATTGTAAAATATAATAAAAATTAAATAAAGGACACATGATGTACCAGGCACCATTTTAAGTACTGAGGATACAAAKCAAACCTTCCATTTTGTTGGGGGTATCCTCAAGTCTCTTAGCAGCTCAACTTTACTAATGAGTACACTGTAGCTTAGAGGGGCTGTGGAACTTGCTCAGCTTCATAAAGCTGATAAATAGTGGGGTTGGACTTTGACCCTTAGGCCTGTTCTCTTAACCACCAAACTATATAGTATCAATATAATGGGGTCTTTGGTTTAATGTCTATAGTTAAAATAATTAGTATTTCATATAGAGTTGTGCTACTTAACTTCAAACTGCCAGTGCCAGGATCTCCTGGGAGCTAGTTACAACTGCAAATTCCCAGACCTTACCTAGATCCACTGAATCAGTATCTCTGGGGGTAAGGCCCAGAGAATCTCTGTTTTTTAACAATCTACTGGTTATTCTCATGTGTGTTCAAGTTTGAGAAGTATCTATGTATACACCATATATGACCTATATGGTATAGATCATGGTTTATAGAAATCACTTCTTTAAAAAGCATTTTTGTTGGTTTTTCTAAAATTTGGTTTTAGTTGAACTTTTTGTGTGCTCTTAGGTTTTACTATGCACAACTGTATGGTTTTTGGYACCTCATCCTGTACTTGTGATGAGTCACATGTCCCCATGGGATTGGGAATGTGCCACTCTTCTAAAAGAGGAACCACAGGGGGAAAAAAAAAAGAGAGGTTGAGAAGAAGGGGACAATGAGTAGGGTCACTCCCCCTGGGTTAGAGGCTGTTAGGCTAGGGATTAGGATGGGGTGAGTTCCCTCACCTGGGAACAGGGGCTTCCTCCCTCTGAGTAGGAGGGAGATAGCCTTTCTGGGTGGGGCTTTTGAGACTAATTAGGCTGGTAAATGGTGTCACCCGATTTCTCTGCAGTGAGGCCTGGGGAAGAATTTCTTTCTGAAATCATGCAGCCTCTAACACACCATCAACCTGAGTGAGGGGGATAGAGGGGGAAGCTGTGCTATGGAGGAGGCATCAAGTAAGGTGTTGAATATTTCAGCAAACTGTCAACTTCAATGTACTGAGGCTGCATCTGTCTTTGAAATCAGGGTGCTCTGGGGTTTCCAGCCAGCCRGTTGCCTAGTAACATGCGTAAAACACTGAGGACTAGCCACTTGAAAGTTTATTTTTGCCCTGAGTTAGTTGCTGAAGATTGAATATGATCTGGTAGCCAGAGTGATATTTCATTTTTATTCATGAGTTAGGGAAATAAGCACATACTTACAGTGAAATTAGCGTCGTTCCATTGAATGCATGACTTTGTACTTCTTCAAATCCATTTCCATATAGTTTGCTGAAGGAGGGAGGAGAGAGGATTTAGAAATGGGAAAGAACTGATAGAAACCCAGTTTGGAAGCACACATTCTTCCTCCTGTGACATTTATTACTGAGATAATCACTGGCATTCACAATATCTAGCTCGATTCCTCCAACATTTTAGATTCTAAGGGCATGCAGGGAAGAAGCTGTTCTTTTTGTTCTGGTTTCCCTCTACTTCCTCCTTGCCCACCATCACTAATTTATTAAGTGTTTATTAAGTGTCAGATACTTGACCAGCCATTGTATGCCTATTTTATGATTTAATTCTCATCATTATTTCCTTTATCCTGAAAAGAGAGCCAAGCATCAGTGTTGCCGTGCAGCTTGCTTATTGTGAAAGGAAAGYGGTGGTGGAGCTGTGATCTGAGGCCAGAGACTCAGCCTTTGGTTTTGTGGCTGTGGGATCTCTGGGCTGCTGAAAGCCAAGGGCAGAGCAAAGCTCCAGCACTGATCCACCTGTTTGTTTTCTTGGGTGAGTAGGTGGTTTTGTGGATGCCAGAGTTGATTCCAAAGCCAAGAAGATGTAAACATCTGTAAAGAGTTTACAGTGAGTTTAGTGGACAGTGAAATCAATTTAGTTGAGTGCCATCAGCATTTTGAAGTGAAATAGAATAGAACAAATGGAAAATATTATTGTGTATTACGAGTAGTTAGGCTAGGAATGTTTATGAAATGTTGTTTCAGAATTTTTATGGCATACACATATAAACACACTTAACACATGTGCATACATATATGCACACACATCTACCCAGACTAAGACATAAGAGAATCCTTAGAACACAGACATTGACAAATGTTAGAACCAGAAAGGAGCCTGGAGGGGCTCAAGGAGCAGGATCACTCTCTCATTTTATAAAGAAGGAAATAGGCTCAGAGAGGGAAAATGACTTCCACCATCGACAGGAATGGGACCAGAATACACTTTGTCTGGGGCCACTTCCAACATATCAGTTTTGCTTTAGACATCATTGTTTTTTCCTCCCACCCCTAAATCCTGAAGGTTCACTTGCTGTCTTCCTGCAAGGCTGAGTTCAATGTCATGTTCTCAATGTGGCCTTCTTTGGCTGCTCTATTTAAAATGCCTATCTCCCATCCCCAGAATTCTTTATCTCCCTTCCCCAACTTATTTTTCTTCCATCTCTTTTCATGATCTGACCCATGATGCTATTTTACTTATTCTTCCCCACCAGAGCATAAATATCATGAAAAAAAGGATTTTAAATTGCTTTTCACCTAGCATAACTTCCACATTCATAACAGATGCTTGGCATCTGCAGTATTACAGTAAGTATATGTTAAATGAATTGGATGAACAAATGGGCTTATGTAAGAAGAATCTCTTACTGTTGATCAAACCAAACAAATTGTAAAGCCACTATCTTACGTGCAATATTTGTATGGGTTCTTTGTGAATGATGATGCAAGACCTAGGTGAGAAACGACTGGAATGTAATACATGTTTGAGCATCCCATATCTAGCGAGGTCTAGCCTCTTCTCCAGGTTGTTGGCAGCTGGATGRCCATTTTAGGGACAGACTTGGGGAGTGACTTGAGAAATGGCTCAGATGCATGCTCTGCTCTACCCGCTCCTAGTCTAGGTGGCTRTTGTCCATGGGGTTTCTCTAGTCTTTATTAAACAAAATGAACAGAGATTTTAACCTTGAGCTGTAGATGAATGTGTATAATGTATATGTATGTCATATGTATGCATATGTAGTGAATGTATATGTTTGATTTCTTCCCATCATATCACATCTGAGACAAATCAGCAAATAAATAGAGGTGGTACTCATATTGAGGTATGATATTCAAACGACAAAATTCAGAAAATATAGACATTACAAAATAATTCTGAAAGCCTCCTCATTAAATTGAGTTCAAAGAGAGCAAGGAAGCTTATTTATTTCTTAAAATCCCATTATATATTTAAAGAAGAGACTGAAAAAAGGGAGCTTGAAGCCTCCAAACATAAAGAAATTATAAAGAGATGGAGATGTTGATTATCCTGTTTTGATCTCTATACATTATATACCAATCACATATTGAAATATCACACTGTACCCCATAAATATATACAATTAATACATGTTAATTAAAAACAAATACCCACAAACCTGAGGCCTCACATGCTGCCTAGTACCTGGAAGGAGCTGTCCATGGTCTGGCTGAAGCGATAGCTATGCCCTTCCATGGCAGAGAGAGCACCGCCCTGGCCCTGGTTTCTCCTGCTCTCACCTGCTCTCTTCTAGGATTCTCTGATTTTACAGCTTCACACACTATTTTCTTAACTATGATCTGCACTGGATTATGAGATGACATTTTCTGATAATTTTTCCTTACTTTTTATRTTATAGAATTTGAGAGAATAGGTACTAGGTATATACCTGTTGCTTTGGGAAATTGTACACAACCTTCTTGCCTTCTTAGTAGCTCAACCTATGGGAGCTTTAAAAAAATTATACTTAGAATATTATTCTTTGTCAAACACCTGTCGTTTGGGGTGGCTGAATTCCTTTATAGCAATCCCTCTTATTTATTCATTTATTTGGTACTGGGGATTAATCCCATGGGTGCTCTACCACTGAACTACAGCCCCGGCCTATTTTAATTTTTAGTTTGAGACAAGGTCTTGTTAAATTTCCAAGGCTTGCCTTGAACTTGGCAACCATCCTGCCTCAGCCTCTCAAGTTGCTGGAATTACAGATGTACACCATTGTGTGTAGCAGCAATCTTTTTTAGRTGAGAGATTCATACCTATCTTTTCAATGAACTTCTTTGAAAAAWTTGATTTTTTAGAATCTAGGCCAGTATTTGTCAAAGCATTATCCTCCATCCACTGAATCAGTCACTTGGACTTATTTGTCAAAGATGCAGACTCAGGCCTATTGACCAGGGCTACTACAGACCCACTGAGTCAGGGTCTAGTAGTGGTATTCAGGAATATGCACTTTTGTGACAAGTGCTCCCACTGAGTGGCAGCCATACCAGTTTGGGAACCCTCACCATAGAATACACCATGGTAAGATGAGGTTCTCATTATTTCTAGGGTGCAAATCAGAATGTCTTTTGCCCCATATTAAGTCTAGAGTCATTGCTTTCTCTACTCTTAAGTGATGGAGCTACATTTCTAGTGGATCAGGAAAAAGTAATCCTTCCTTTGTTTTGGGGAAAGCAAAGCTTCTTGCAGTTGTCTCAGTGGCCATTGCCCTTCACTTTTGCATGCTGCCCTGATCCTAAGTTTTGCTACATTAGGTTATCTTTTTTTTGTGTGTGTGTGGATTTTTGCCATTGCTTTAAGTGAGGCCTCATGGTTAAGTCTGCAAGCATTGAGCTCAACTGCCTGGGCTTCAGTCCCAGTTCTGCTACTTACAAACTGAGCTAACTTTTGGCAATTTGCTTACCTTTCTGTGTCTCAGTTTCTTAATCTGAAAGTAGGAATGATAATAATAGTATCAACTCCATAAAGCTGTCTTGAAGGTTACAGGGGCAAACATATGTTGAGCACTTAGAAATAGGTTCTGGGACCCAGTAAATGCTTAATGTGCTGATCTTATTATGACTGTATTTTGCAGTAGTCTCCAGCCCTCTACCAGAACATAGGGAAAGGGTCTACCTTTCCATACTCTGGGAAGGATTTGTATGAACTTCAAGCAACCTGTTTAATTGAACTGTTCTTTTCTTCCTTTGGGGTAGGTGCCCTTCTGTTCTTGGGCAGAGCAGTCTAGGTCAGTGGCTGGGACTGCCAAAATGTCTTCCTTCTCTGAGTGCCCTCAAGATACTTTGGTCTGAGCCAGAATCATGGATGTTTTTGCATTTAGATAATTTTCATGTYTTTTTCTTTCTTTCTTTTTTATAGCCCAGGTCTTGCTTGTCCCAATTTTCCAAAGACTGTGGCTCACTGTTTCCTTTTCAGCTGCTTCTCATCTCTGTTCTTTGCAGTGGCACACAATGGCATGTGCTGCCTTGTTTTGATGAGAAGAGTGGCTTCCCCTCTCTGGATGAATTACATATGTGAGTGGGAGCCCTTGCACTATCGCACCAGCACAATGCCTCCAGTGCTCTTTCAAAACATCTAGAGATCACTTCAGATAAATTTTTCCCAAGATCTCATGGTGTCAGAATGAAATGAGAATGGTTCCCTTTGCCTGGAGAATTCTGTCAGGGGCATAGAAATGGAGGTTCCCCCTTGCTCCTCTATCACAATAGCAGCCCCTTGCTTGCGAGCATTGTCTAGGTTCTCTCTTCAAATGTCAGTAATTGCGAATCAAGCAGAGAGAATGGCATCTTTTTTATTCAAAATAAGATTTGGGCTTTAGAAATTAATCACAGATGATATTATGCTGCTGAATGCTGTCTTATTACAAACATTATTCCTGGGGTTCTAGAAGCACTTCTGGAAGTAGCACTTCTATATGCTGCTGTATTTCTTTTGTATCTTATAGTCACCTAGTTTTTGGATATTTCAAAGAAGGATTAATTTATATTTGCAGGTGTTTGAGGTCTCAAAAAGTGGCCCTTCTTCTGTTTGGATATCTGTAAGCCAATTTTAATCAAATAACTTTTTGTAGCTCCTCATGTGGCATGTTACTGAAGTCCTTCTATATCTGAAGCATTCCCCAGGTATGAAGACAGTTCAATAATAGATATATTGGCAGTGATTGTGTGCTAACTGTTACCCCATCACTGCTATGTGCTGCCATGACACTTGCTCTGAATGTATGTCAAGGTGCCCCCTTTTCTGTGGGTGTCACTGTCTCTGTAGCAAGGGATCCCTGTCCCTGATATGGAATAACTGCCTGTCTTTCAGCAGCACTGAGTTTTCATGTTTCCCTTCACCTCAGCCAAGTTCATGCCAACTTATATGACTTTACCATATATAGTAATAAAGAAGGTGACAGGCATCAAAAAGAATGATGACAATAATAAATTCTGATATATTGAATACATTATCTGAGAAATCCACATTCCACAGTGATATTTAGAAAGAGCAAGGGAGAGAGAGGAACAGAAACAACAACAACAAAGGAAGTCACTTTTTTGTAGACATGCTGGCTAATAAATATAGAGGAATACTAGAATGTAAAAATTTCCATTTTGTAACTCCCTTTTAAATAACGTGAGTGATCAAATTTGCTGAAAGATAGTTAGGCAACTGAACATCCCACCAGGTATCCCATCATGATTTACTTATAAATGACAAAGGGAAAAACATGTCTTTACAATAGAGGTTTAACTGTCAACATCTTAAGCAAGTGGCCAAGTAATGGAACAGTGTGACTTCCTGGTTTGATGCAGTGAGAGACATACCATTCCCTTTGTGGTGCTCTGATAGAAATATCTGGCCTAAATCTGGTCATGGCAATTCAGTCAGATGAATCGAGGCAGCCTGAGCTTCTCAGCATGTTCAGTGTCTTATAGAACAGAGGAAGGCAAAGGGACAGTTCTAGGTGTGGAAGAGGTATGGGAGATGAGGTTGAGTGGACTGAATGCCGGACATAACAGCAAAAATGCAATCCATAAACTTTGGATGCTAAATTTTGAAAAACCCATACAAGACATTTTCACTTAAATATGGGCTGGATGATGTCATTAAATTCCCAGTAATTTTCTTAAGGATAAAGGTACTATGTGGAGGGGGAGATACATGCTGAAGTACTTAGGGATAAAATATCATTATCTCTATAATTTTCTCCTGGATGATTTGGCAAAAGGGAAATGTATATACTCCCATCTATAGATGGAGTTGGCTGTGGCAAGCTGGTAATAGTTGATGAATCTAGGTAAGGTATAGGCATGTTAATCACATCATTTTTTCTATTTCTTGGTGGAAAGACAAATGGAAAGTCATGTGCCTTGTAAGTCATGTAATAGTTGATGACTCTAGGTAAGGTATATGTTAATCATATTGTTCTATTTGTTAGTGGAAAGACAAATGGAAAGTCATGTGTCAGTTAAAAAAATTATTTTTAGAGAGAGAGAGAGAAAATTTTTTTAATATTTATTTTTTAGTTTTCGGTGGACACAACATCTTTATTTTATTTTTATGTGGTGCTGAGGATCGRACCCAGGGCCCCGCGCATGCCAGGCGAGCGCGTTACCACTTGAGCCACCTCTCCAGCCCAAGTTAAAAAATTTTTACATAATATATTCAAAAGTGTTTTCAGTATGATCTAAAATAACTAACCTGTTGTGGGTCACTGCATATTATCCTTTAACTAGTTAATTATAATAATTGGATCTTCATAAGGATGCATTCATAATACCATTGAATAGACAGAGAGGGAGGCACATAGAGGTGGCCTGACTTGGCTAAGCATGCTTGATGGTAAGGCACAAAGCTGGGACTAAAATGAAGGCTTTTATTTGAACRCCCAGCAGCCTCTCTACTATGGCTTGTCATGGGTGCAGCCAGGAATCTTGCTATGCTTTACCAGATACTCCTTCTCCAAAGGATCTCAGAAAAAAAATCGCCATGGCCTTCCCTTGTCTTATTGGATTTCAGATGTGAATAAAGGTTGCCTCTTTTTTGAGACTGGTATCACCAATCATCCAGAATATTTTAAAGGTGGTGCAGCTAAGTGCTGCTCATTTGCAGTGGGGTGGGGGTGGGGGTGGATTTCAAGGTGGCCTCTTGAGGAGATTTAATGAAAAGCCAAAGTGGCTATAAAGGGACATAAGAGTATAATGCATAGTTTTAGCATTAGCCCCACTGAGCTTCTCCTGCATCAAGTAAAGTGTTTTGTTTTCATTAAATGAGCTCACAGTTGGTAAAGATTTAGGTGGGGTGGGGGCAGGACAGGTTCCACTAGAAGCAAAATTTCAAATACTACTAATAATGAAAAGAGAAGGCTTGCTTTCATTATTTTCTAATTAAGGAGTTGAACTTTATAGCTGGGAAAATAAAGCTTTCCTCTTTAAGTGTAATACCCTTTATCCAGCAGGGTGCTCCACAKGATCCTTCACTCACAGAAGGGCCCATTCAGCTGAGAACAAGTGCCAAGCAAATGACTAATCACTCCCCTTCCAGATGAAGTGCCAAGACTAAGGAGGGGGATGGAAGCACAGTTCCTCACAGGCCCTCTGGGAGAGATGAATTTGAAGTCCTCATTAACTTCAGAGGTGGGGCAATTACACCCGACTGGCAGGTACTATTCCTCTTAAATTCATAACCAACACAAGTTAATGTCCCTGTAAAAAGAATACCATGCAGCTCTTATGCATACATACTGGAATGTGGTGTCTGAAAGGTTTCTCTTCAGTTTGGTGGGGTGGCCCTGTCTTGGAGCTCATAGTTCCCTGTGGATTATCCCAGTGTGCCCTTCATGCCTCCGTCCTTTCATTCCACTCCACTCCCATTCCTGCACATTTACCTATTGGTTCTTGATTATTTAGGATAAAATTGATGAAAGTCTTGAATATTTTGATCTTTGCATAAAAGCTACTCTAGTACATGGTTTCTTCTTAGTTTTTTCAGAGTTTCTTCCAAGCCTTGTCCCCTTTATCTTTGCATTCAAAACCCCTGCAATTCAGTGTCCCCTCTACCCTAGCCATTTATCTGGAAACATCTTTCATTTCTTAAACAGGATGTTCACTCCCAGGTGTGAGCCTCACCCTGGCCATGCTCTTGCTCTTGCTGTTTCCTCACTCCYCCATCTCTATTTTGATACCACATAATGGTTAAGAACATGCCCTCTGGAGCCAGATTGCCTGGGTCCAAATCTTGGCCTTGGATAAATAATTAAGCCCTTCATCCCTTGGTTTCCTTAGTGGAGCTGAACCTTACCATATAAGGTTGCTGTGGAACTTAAATGAGTTTTAAAAGGTTCTTAAAACAGTCCAGGCATTTAATAATGCTGTCTAAATATTAGCTGCTGTTAATAAATTTACCCATACAAATACTACTGAATCTGTGAGRTACAATTCAAGTCTCAGCTTCACCATGTAGCCTCCCTGGAGTTCTCCAACCCAAGAGGAATTCTCTGAGACCTTATTTCTGCATACCACACACTTGGAGGGGAATATCTATTGGCTTGTATTATTCCTTTGTTATTTCATGTCTCCTACCCTCATTGAGTTTATAAGCTTCTTAACATGAATATTGTCATGTCKTTTGTGTTCTCACTAAAGGCATTGTGAGACTCAAAAGTCATAAGCTATGTGGTGTCTCCTCACTMAGAGTTCATGCTGTGAATACCCTGTGGAAACAGGGGATGTGGGGACATGATATATAGTTATAAATCTATTATGCAATGGTGGGTTGGAAACAATTTATACACAGCTGCCAGAGCCATAGTGTGTGAGGGAAGTGGCAGGAGCTGAAAGACTATAGAAAAGTATTTCTGGGATCTACACAGTCTCCTTCCCAGTGTTCAAGAGTTGCTAGTAAAGAATTTAAGTTATTTTAAAATTAGTTTGGTTGCTGCTCTGTATCTTTTTGATTGCAGTCTGAGCTGGGGCTATGTTAGTCACAGTTTTGTAACATGGCAATTATATGTGTAAAATTATATCCACATAAAGTAAAAGTATTATACAAATGCAGTGTGCCATTGATACCAATTTTTAGGATCTATTGCTATAAAAGGGAGTTAAGACGATCTTTCCTCTTGCTTTCATCTTTCTCGTTACTCCAGGGTCATTCCAATCCATATTTTCTACTCCCCACCCTGAGCTTATTTATTGCTTCATCACAATCCCACCATGGGCTGTAACTAAGGTGGAAAGAGTGAGAGGGATGTGCATGTGGAGAGCAGAAATGAATATATGTCACTGGGCTTTGGATAAATGAGACATGGTGCTTAGGATGCTGCTTCTGAGTGGTGGGCAAGGGAGAGTATACATGTGAAGAGGGATGGCAGTGTTCTAAGTGAAGGAAGTCACTCTGGTGCATTGTAAAGGGTAAGGGCACCGAGTACAGTGCCCTTCAAATTATGATTACATGTAAATTTCTTGGGATCCTGTGAAAATGCAGATTTTAAATCAATGGGTCTGCACAGATCTTAGAGTCTGAATTTCTAACCAGCTCTCAGATGATGCTGAAGATGTCAGTTCATGGATGATACTTTAAACGATAGGTCCTTAGGAAACATCATGAAAAGGACAGGGCTTGTGAGCCTAGTGACCTAAGAGTGACTGTCAAATGAAATGTCATAATTTTGAAGTATCATGGAATGGAGGAAATGGGCATTGATGGTGTTACTTCAAACATAAAGTGAGAGAGATCCAAGGGGTAAGTGAAAAATCAGAGGGAGAGAACAAAYTCCATTGATGAACTACTCTACCTACTTGGAGAGTGTCCTTCCAAACTTTGCTCAGTTGAAACCTTGAAATTCCTGTGTTTCTTTAATCATGTGCTTTCTTTAGCCATAACCCTCTAGGCTGTGTTTTCCAAGCCTCAAAGCATTCCACTGATTCACTGAACAATTTTATCACCTGGAAATTTAGTACTGAAAATCTTTAGGATCTATTTGATTGGTTTTAAACTGAATTGAGTGATTAGTTGTCCTATGAATATATAACCTAACAGTGATCCCATATCATTCCCCCAACCCTTGGCATTTTAGGTTGAGAAGGATGTCACCAGTTGGTGAAGAAGGTGTTAAAACATGAGAAAGAGCTCACCTCAAGCCAGAAGTAAGAATAGCAGGAGGCTGTGTGGCAGAATGAGTTTCTGGGAGTTTACTCACAGTGTTATGGATTCGTTATTCATCCCTTGAAAAGCATTTCCTGGTATGGTGGTTATGTACAAGTTATCACAAATTTCCCTTGAGGAAATAAATGAGAAATATTTACTTTCCAAATTTTAGCTGCAAATAGGAAACTGTTATGCATAGCAATCAGCTGGGTACTTACAGAATGAAATTAAATTCGGAGGAGAAGATCTTCGTAACATCTGGAAGCATTCGAATGCCTGTGTTACAGATGCTCCTATGATTCAGGGCAGGATGGTGATGTGGGCAGAGAGTGGGTAAAAGTGATTGTCATTAAGGCATAAAGACAAAAAGGTGTAGAAAGGCATTTTGCAAATGCTATTTTCACTTTAAATAAAAACATTGAATTTGGCTTTATCAGTATCACTTCTAGCTGATGAAGACCGTAAAAATTCAAAGGCCCCTACTGCTCTGGAGAAGTTGTTCTAATCACTCCTATTTAGAGATCTAGGAGTTGGAACTAAGCTTTCAGGTCTTTTCCATTTGTATTTCCAACCTGTCTTTTCACATTAGATCAATTGTATTTTCCTATTGTATTACATTCTGTTTCCTTCTGGTAATTAGCTTATTCTATGCTCTTGATAGTTATAGAAAGCATCCCTCTCTTTTGGAGCAGGTTTTAACTCAAACACTTCAGGAAGATTCATCTCATGTGAGAAATTCATCTTCCTTATTATTAAAAACCTTCCTTTATTTATCTACCTCACAGTTCAGGAAGTTCTTTCTTGTACCTCATTGAAACCATTGTACATTCTTGTGGTGTCTGGAGCTACTCAAGGATCCTCTTCTTTTCCTCCAGTCTTTTATTTAACCTCCAAAGAAGAGAGAGGCTTAAGTGACAGGTAAAATTGAACTTTTTATTATAAGAATGGACTCCTTTAGAGGCATCCAGACAGTTGGATTTCCCCCAACTAACTTTTAAATTCACCAGACCTGGACAACTGATAGGAATTGTCTGGAACCCTGGTGACAATGGAACAAAGCCAGGTTTCCCTTCTGGCTGTGGGTCTCCTCTTTACTCATAACTCTCTTGAATGGATGAATGAGAATCCATGCCCTGTYTGTGGCTAAGCAGCTTGGGCTTAGTTTGGGCAAGAGGGTTTGGGTTGGGGAAACATCATATTTTTGGGTGAAAATACTATTTAATAGATAATGACTCTTGGAAAATAAGGGGCRGTAGTGGTCAAATTTGGTTCTTTGTTATTCTTATGATTTTTCAAAGTGATTGATACTGCAGGATGCTCACATGACTCTAGGTCTCCTGAAGATTGGGAAAAGCAGAACACCAGGGTTTGGAATTGTCCAATGTTGGAGTTGCCAAAGAGCTGTGCCAGTTCCATCAGCACCTCCTGCAGGAGGCCTGGGAGCAAGATGATGATGTGGATCACCAGAGTGATGTTCCTTCCCTGCCCCTTTGTTTTTCTTTTTTCAGGTAGTGGTGGGAAGTGGACTGGGGTGTTTATGAAATTTAATTTTTTAAAAAGAAGAGAGAATTATCTAAACTAGGAGGACTTAAATTTTTCTGCGTGAGTAGGGAGGACTTGATAGGTGAGAAGCTCTGCTATTGATCAATTTATAGATTGTATCAATTTTCAGGAATTTTGGCAAGGACAATTGCTGTTTGGCTACAGTTGTACTCAATTTGTCATGCTAAACAGTAGTGTTGGTATGATTTAATGGGAAAAAACAAATGATTATTTAGTTTATTTCTCACAGTACATGAAGGCAGTACATAAGAAGTTTTCACTTGACAAATGAATGAACAAATGAGATAAAGGAGATACACAATTCTCAACCAGCAACTATGGCTAAATCAGAATTGCCACTTTCACCTACTATCTGCTCACCTTAGAGATTCTGATGTACCCTTTTTGGAATATTGTGACCCCCCCTCCCTTCCCAGGGTCAGCTCTGAAAGTCACAGCAAAGAGTGATGTTCTTCTCAGGTGTTTGGGACAGAAAAAATGCTGGGAACCACTTCCATGTATGCAGAAGAACCCAGCATGGCAGCCAATAAGAAATGTCGATTATGTTTAAATCAGACAGCTAAAGAGGAGGAACATGCAAACAATGCCAAGTAGATGGTTTTAAAAAATATTTCTCAGCCTTTTAATTATTTTGGTTTTCATCAGATGCCCATCTTCCCCTTCCCAAATGGTTAAAAAGGAAAATTTCTCACAGGTATTTTAACCGGGGAAGATTTGTAAATGCACCAGGCTCAATGTGTACCAGGTTTTTGGTGTTCTGGATCAGTCTGTAAAGAGAGGGGGAAATAGGAAGCAATTTAATTGATGGATATTGTTTGGAATGCATGAGGCTGTGGTCACCAGAGGTTGCTGCTTGAAAATGGAATCAACAAAATCAAGCAAATTCATGTGCTTGAGAGGAGCTCCCAAGACTTTGGAGATGGAAATGGTTTGCTGAGGTTATTTTGAGGGAGCTTGGCTCAAACCTTTTGAAGAGGCAGTTGTAGGTATCATAGCTGTACATCTGTACCTGCCCCTCCTGCTCCCCATCAAATACCTCTGACATTTAGAGCTCCTAGCCAAGTAGATCCTGTCCCATTGTGGAGGCTGGTTGGTGAGAGATTCTGCACTCAGGAACAAATTAGTTGCTCTCCTCTGCAGGCAAATTAGTCCTCTTCATATTGAACTGGCAACCACACTGAGCAATTATCCAGATGGGCACCCAGTCTATGCAACAGCACAGAGTAGAGACTAGGGGTTTGGATTTTTGGAAACTTAGGGATAGTGTATAGATAATTTGCTGTGTGATGATGCCCATCTTAACTTCCCTTTGCTAGTGTTTGCTTCTGCAAAATTGGAATAATAATATTATGTCTTCTTCCTTTCTCATAGGTTGGTGGGTTTTGAGTAATAGAATAGGTCGAGATAATTTGAGACAGATAATTTGAGCTATGATACTACAATGGTGTTATTGCCTCCCCCGCCCCGCCCATTCCATCAATTACTGTGACCCTGTAAGAAGTAGCCACAATTGTTGAGTACTGCCTACTTTGGATTCAATAAAAAGCCTGTAAATATGTGCGGCTTTCTTGACCCAGGTAACAACAACCTAAGGACATGGTAATCACCTTTGTTATACAGAGAAATATAGTATATAGTTTAGGAATATGTACTGTGAGATCAGTTGGTTTTATTTGCGGGGGGAGGGAGGATACTGGGGATTGAACTTGGGGGCACTTGACCACTGAGCCACATCCCTAGCCATTTTTTAAAAAAATTTATTTAGAGACAGGGTCTCACTGAATTGCTTAATACCTTGCTTTTGCTGAGGCTGGCTTTTAACTTGCAATCCTCCTGCCTCAGCCTCTGGAGCTGCTGGGATTATAGGTGTGCTCCACCACACCCAGCTACCAGTTGTTTTTTTTTAATCCTGATTTTACCCATCATATGAACTTGGATGTTTTCCTCATAGGATAGTTTTTGAGGAAGACTAAATGTGGGTGTCTAGTTCACAGCAAGGCCTTATCAGGTGTTAATAATGATTGTTAGAATTGAAATTARGAAGTTGAATGATTTCTTTCCAGTCACACAGCTGAAAAGTAGCAGAACTTGAGTGTGACCCCATTTTTCTGACTCCAAGTCTAGTGCTATGGTTTCCTATCACTGGCATATATTTGCAAATAAAAGATGGAAATAGGCATCTGATTCTTCAGTGTGAGTGATATTTTGTGGTAATTATTTTTTCAACAACCAACTCAAGTAATCATGGGCCATAGGGCTTTATATGGGTGAGATGGAAGAGGCTTTTTACCTCTTAAAGATCTCTTGGGGGTCTTACCTTAGACCATTTGTTCATATATTCATTCACTCAATGTACATTTACTTAATGACTACATGTTCCAAGAACTGTCCTAGAGACTGGGGATACAATTGTGAAAATGCAAAAAGAGTCTGCATTGAGCTGGCATTCTAGTGTCAGGGACTTCATTGGGAATCGATAAATATTCCCTTTAGTGTTCTTTATTTTTCTTTGTGTTGATAAATGTTGCTTTACATCACTGGAGGCTTTATTATCATTAGCTTCCCTGGTGGTTCTCAATATAGTATGTGCTTCAGCATTACCTGGGAAGTTTGTTAAAACTGCAGATCTCTAGGTCTGGGAGAGCACAACTATAATGGGCCCTATGCACAATTCGGCTTCAAAGCCAAGTCTAGACATTTTTGTTTGCACTAAAGTACCCATTATTTTGGATTTTTCTGTAATCATCTCCTAGTGGATATTTGTATTTTATCTCCTTTGCATTCCAGTGGTGCTTGGATCAGAACTGGACACATGGTGGGTACTCACATACTTATTGGTTAATTATTCTTTTTAGATAATTATTCACTGGAGCATTTACAGGGAGACCTTGTGGTATAGTGGAAAATACATGAGCTTTGAAAAAGATAGGCTCAGAATTGTCTAAAGAGTCACACTGGTCAAGTTGTGGCACTTTTCCCAGCTTCCATTCCTTTCTTTGGGAAAAAGGGATAATTATCCCACTCTGCAAGGTGGCTGTGAGGATTAGTGACACAACCTAGAGGAAATGCCAAACAGTAGAGTTCAAAAAATATCCCATGCTGCCACAATTCCCTTTCTTGTACTTTTGATACTCCTAAGCAGGGGAGACTGAGGGATCTTTGCTTGGGTGGGAACCACATATGGCAGTGGTAAGAGGTTTGGTTTCAAAGTCATCTGACCTGGTTTCTAGTCCAGCTCTGGTACAACTTGCTGTGTGACATCAGGCGAGTTAGTTGACCTCTTTGGGTCACAGATGTGTCATGTGAAAACTCAATTGAGTTGGACTTCTCCCATCCTCTTTTTGGAATTAAGAGAAAATGATGAATTGGAAGGGGTYACATTAAAAAGTTAATTCCAAAACACCAACAAAATACAGCATGTCCAACACACAGGGGCTCAATATGGGGCTTTTCATGGTAGGTATTCAAGAAGCATTTTACTGACACAAAGAATATGCCAGAACAGCCCCCAATGAACCACTTCATGATCTCTAAGCTCCTTTCCAAAATTTTCAACTACCCCAAGTACTCCATACCCTCCCTTCCCTAAGGCAAGAGCTACTTGGCAGAACTTCACAATGTCAATTTTAATTTCCAACAGTGTGTTGTGATGTTTCAGGGTTTATACAGCTCCCAGAGAGAAGCAGTTGTCACTATGGCAACCTTCAGGCCACTGCAGTGAGAGAAATTAGTGCCTGCCCAGACCTAGTAATTGCTGAGTCTTTTCCTCTTGGATTCCTAGCAGTAGATGCTTGAATACAAATACCAAGTGGGCTCCAGCCAGCAAGGGTAATAGTGTACAGCAATAAACTATCTGTTAGCTGATGCTTACATTTCAGACAAATTGAGGAGGTTGTCAAAGGCATTAGCTTCTATCCTTTCCAGGGAATCACTCTGAGAGATTTCTCTAGGGGAGAAAAAAAAAGTAAAAAAAGAAGCATGAAAGAAATGACTATGTCTACATAATAAAGAAGAGTGTGTGTGTGACCCAACAACTAGGTGCTGCATTGTGTCCCTCTGGAAAAGAACAGAATGTGCGAGTTCTGCTTACATCACAAAATACTAACATCTCCCTTTAGGAGCACCCATGGGTGTCTACAACCCAGATGCAGTTGAAATGTAAGTTTCAGTAACTCCCATTTATATGACAGGCTTTTCTCTTATTTATCTGTGACTTGGAATCACAGATTTGTTAGAAGTAGATAAGTCCTTTGAGAAAGATGCACAATTCTTGAGAAAATCTAACCAGACTCTCTTGTTTTGGAAATCGAGTCCCTGAGAGGACAGGCAAATAGTATTTTTGTGAAGTCTCAAGACTAAGATTAGGAACACTGGGGTCCCAATTCCATCACTGTATTGAAGCTTTAATTTGGTCTAAATTAGTTGCTTCATAACTTTTTTTTTTTTTGGTTCTGGGGTTTGAACCCAGGAGTGCTTAACCACTAAGCCATATCCCCAGCCCTTTTTTTATATTTTATTTAGAGACAGGGTCTCACTGAGTTGCTTGGGGCCTCACAAAGTTTCTGAGGCTGGTATTAAACTCATAATCCTCCTGCCTCAGCCTCCTGGGCCACTGGGATGACAGGCATGCATCACCACAACTGTTTAATAACTCTTAATTCTGCTGTTTAATAACTCTTAATTCTTGATTTCCCAAAACACTCTCCTGAGGCTATTGTAATGGTTAACCTCTGCACGTGGCATCCATCATGGACAGTAATTATCCTTTTCCTTGACTGTTTTCTTATTCTTGAGCCAATCAAGGACATAAAAAATTTTTATTTCCTTCTGAATCCCTGGTGGCTTTATATTGCCTGGTGCATAGTTAGASAATGAATGAATAAATGAATGGACTAGTGAATAAACTGACTTTTWAAAAACACACAAACATAAAGCAACCATCTTTGCTATCCCTAAGCATGTCAGTAATGTCAGTGTTATCCAAAATCCCAACATGAGCCACTATCTGCTGCCAGCTGAGATAAAAGTCTCAAATTCACAAATTGTACATTTGTGTATTTCTAAGGTTAATGCTTACTGAACGCTTCAGACTTGATGAGAGCTTTAGCCCATAGAAAGGCAGAGCCTAAGGCTGTTAATGTCTTTTCTGAACAACACAGTAATGTATTGCCTGGGCTGATTCATCTTATTCCTACCTAATGTTTGCTTATTTAACTGTGTGGCTGCTTTTCTTAGTAGGAGGTCTTAATGCATTGAAAGTTATCAAAACTCAACATTTAAACTTGAGAGCAGTCAGAAGAACATGGGTTAGGTTTTAGTCAACTGACATGTCTGTAACCAGCAGCARATACACTATAAGATGCACAATTCTTGAATATATTTTAATATTCTTAGTTTAATATTCTCATTGTTTCTTTTCAATATAGAATTTTAATAACTTAATAATGATAATACTAAACACCCTAAAGAGCAGCAGAGTTTCTCCAAGGAGCTAGGCTTAACAGTATAGCATCTTCTTTGGAGGTGTAAATCTGCCTGAAAGTCCAATGGATTGTTAATGTTAGAGATGCCTTATAGGAACAAAATAATCATCCTTTGATTCAGGTTAGCATTAAGGAGGATGCTGGAAAGTTCTTTCTCCTGAGAAAATTTTCTCTTTATGTATGGAGTCTTTGACTCTGGAAGCTGAAAAAACCCAGGGACAAATGATTGAACTTACATCTGACAGACATGAGATCATACTGCATTATCAGGCTGCTTTACACTTCTGATAAATGCCTTTCATCAATAAATCTATAAATACTGTGTTTTTGTCATACACTTATTATATTTTAGATACAAAGATTATCTTCTGATGCACAATAAACTTCTAACACATTTTCTTCTGTGTGGGAGTTATCTAAAAATGTGACACAAGGGAATAGCTGTTCTAGTAGAAGAATTTTTATGATTGAAATATATCTTGTTTTTTGCTTAAAAAGTGTATCATCACTTATCAAAATGCATTCAATTCTTTGAACCAAGGTTAATTATCTGGATTTTAATGACTCTTGAAAATCATACCTTTTCTTCAAAGGCCCCTAGATATTATTTGTATTATGAAGATAAAAATACTTGGGTGTCCTAAACACTATTTCTCTCCTAGAAAAATTATTCTTTTTCAGTTGTGTTTTTAGAAGAAAATTCATTATTTTGATTATGAATGTCTTTTAATATGCAATATCTTACTTACATTTTTACGACCTCATTAAGTCCTCTGAAAGCTTGAGATGGAATGATTTTGACAGGGAGATAAGTGAGTGATCTAGAAAAGAAAAACGAAAAGCCAAGAGTTTAAGTTTTCAGACTGGGTTCCTTTTAAGTTTATAAATAAAGTGTGTGTGTGTGTGTGTGTGTGTGTGTGTGTGTGTGTGTGTGTGTGTTTGAGAGAGAGAGAGAGAAAGAGAGAGAGAGAGAGATATTACAGAGGTAACAACTGGATGCAGGTTGAGTATTCTAACATATCAATAAGGAGATATACCATGACTTATTCTTGGTATATGTAATTGGGTGGTTACGGTCATGAACATTGGGATTAGATGCATCTGGGATCAAATCTCCATTGTCTCACCTCCTGATTATGTGACCCTGAGCATGTTCTTTAAGCCCTCTGTTTCTTTTGTCATCAACAAAATTGGAATAGTAATTCCTATCACATAGGATTGTTGTAGTAATTAATCAAGATTACCTCTGTAAAGTCAAGGCTCGAACCAAGTAAATAGTTAATAAATGGCTTTAGAGTGGTCCTGTAGAACTGATTGGGAGGATGAAATAAGAAGCTTTTTTTTAGATACAGTGGAGAAATGAATGGTGAAAATACAATTGGGAACCATGCCGGTAGGAGAAGGGAAGATTCCCTAAGTAATGGCCTCTTTCCACCTAACCTATCTTCTTCAGGCAGCCATTTCAATATAGTCCCAACCAGGCCACTCTGCTCCTATGGTTTTATTCACATGGGAATTTCACATCATTTGGGAGAATGTCTATGAGAGCACTAACATCTACAGGAACAACTTGAGTATTCATAAAATTGAGGTGAAAGCTGTACAAGACATAGGAGTTGAGAAAAGAGCTCCAGTTTGCAACAGGAAAACCAGTTCAGGATGATATGGGAAGGTTAAAGGATCTTGAGGTTAAGAGGTGCATAAGAAAGCTTCCGCAAATTAGAGATGAACAGTCAACCATTTATCAAGCATCTCCAGTGGTTCAAGATTCAGCTCAGGACTGGCAAAGAGGAAGCGAATGGATCAGGTCATTTCAAGTGGAAATCCAGTGACTATCAGGTATATGAGAACAGAGTGGGGAGATGCTGTCTCATTTTTTCTAGATGTCTACACAGCAGGGACTGTCTTAGCTTTCAAGAAGAAACAAGTCCTCTGTGATGAGCAAGTATCAATCAGTGAGGCATTAGAAGGAACTTGCTACGTTGTAATTCTGTTACATATACCCACTTACAACTTTATTTTATTCATGCAACARTGGCATGAAGGGGTATTTCCATTTTGATAGCAGAAGAAATTGGGTCAGAAAGAAATTAGGTACTGTGGACAAGGTAACAACCAAGCAGACTGACTCTGAATGCCTTTTCCAATGTGCAGTACTGGGCTAAATGAAGCAAGTGATTCCTAACCCATTGTCTCTTGGTGAGTAAGGTGGAAGGACAAGCACTCCATYCTTGCTTCTCTTGAAAGGAAGCACGTCACACTCTGTTTTTCTCTCAAAGCAGCTTACCAGCAKTTCCTCTCTTGAAGCTAATACAGAGGAGTTTTAGAGATTTCAGAAGAGTGCTTTCATTCAACAGTTTCTTAGAGATGATACAACCTAGAGGAAATAATCCAAACCTGGTCCTCTGATTCTGTTCCTGATGACTGTCCCACCAAGCACATTATTCAAAACCCCAAATTATTTAACTGGGGATCTGAAAAGAACAGGGATAGTGGAGGGAGAAATCTTCTTGCCATGGCATGTTTGCTTCCTATATTTCTTCTGGAATCATGTCTGCTTGGCTTACTGATTAAAAACACAGTTTTATTGCTTTCTGCACTGCCAAGCCAATAAATTTCCAGAAGAGAAAGCTGTATTCTACTGTACCCCATGCAACATCAATAAAACTGACAGCCAAATTCTGATTCCAGAATCTTTATTGCTGGGGATAATGCAGTGCAGAACATATTTTGGAGAGTGTTTACATAAAAGCTTCAACCAAACTCTTCAGAGGTGTTTATTCATGTAAATGGAGCCCAGAAGCCGGGGCACCTCTCAACAGGCAGCCTGTTCCCCTAAATGGGAGCTTGCTGCTCCCAGAAGAACAGTTTGGTTCAGATTCGCCAGGGGGTTGCCTGAGCTCTTGATTGATGTATGGATGAAGGAAGAGGAGCAAAGGTCAGACAGAAGTGAGAGAAGCTATAGATCATGCACTGGCTGTCCCCAGTGACTATTGAACAGCCCTGGTGCAAGATGAAATTTTGTAGAGTTGATGTCCACGCTGCAGAGTGGGAAAGGCAGCTATAATGAGAGTGAAAATAAGAGTCCCTATCTAAAGAGGGACACTGATCAAACAACTGACATCTTGGAGTATGTGGCTGGGTGCAGAAAGAGGCTTGGGGCCAGAGAGTGGGGAGAGAAGCGGGGTGAGGCAGGTACATGTGCTTTTCACAGCAGATGTGTTCCCAGGAGGCACCATGGAGAATGTGACTCTGTGAATTCAAAACATTTTTTCCATTGCTTAATACTTTTATTTCAAGAAGTCTTGTTTCCATTTTTGATTTGTCTTCAATTGGAGCAATAGCTCAGCATTAAGTATTGTTTCCTATATTTAAATTTGTTCATAGTGTAATCTGAATTGCCTTGTGTTTTTAAAAATATATTTCATTTTAAATTAGCATGTAGCAATTTCAATATTTATGGGGTAGAGGGTGACATTTCAACACACCTGTACAATGTGTAATGACCAGATCAGAGTAATTGGCATATCTATCACCTCAGACAGGTATGTTTGAAATCCTCTCTATTAACTGTTTTGAAATATTAAATGAATTATTGTCAACCATAGTTAACCCACTGTGCTATAGAACATGAAAAGTGATTCCTCTAGTCCAGATGTGATTTGTTAAGGGCCATTGCAATTTACACCCTTTGTAGGTGCTTCCTTCTCTGATGGATGCCTCTATTATTCTTCCCAAGATGCCAGAAACTTTTAGCAATGTGAACAATTATCTAAATAACTCTACAATTCCATTCCTGTTTACATCCCAGAGAAAATTTTAAACTGATTCCTAAGGAGACCTATACAAGAATTTTCTTTTTTTTTTATTTTTATTTTTTTTTTTAGTTCTCGGCGGACACAACATGTTTGTTGGTATGTGGTGCTGAGGATCGAACCCGGGCCGCACGCATGCCAGGCGAGCGCGCTACCGCTTGAGCCACATCCCCAGCCCCAAGAATTTTCTTGACCACATTGTGGCATCGGGAGTTAGGTGTCCATCCCTGGGTAAGGGTGCAGGTACAATGTACACAGTACATACCTAGTCAAGTAGATGAACACTTGGAAGCTGAAGGCACACAGAACAGCTTGGGTGAATCTTAGAATCATGGGAGTGACAGAAACAACTAATTTGATATACATAACACTATTTGCAGAATTAAACTACCTGCACACAAAACCTTAGAAATTTTAAAACACATGAACATATGTTAGGATTGATTGTCTATGGTGAGTTGAGGAACAGAAGTGGGAGAAGGGGATAAAATAAATAATTAAAACAGAGGAAGACCATTATAATTTGAATCTGGAATGACCCTCCCCACCACCAAAAAAAAAGCACATGTGTTGAAGGCTTGATCCCCAATTACAGCAGTGTTCAAAGGTGGATGTTGATTGGTCATGAGGGTTCTAACCTCACTAGTGGATTATGTTAGTAATAATCAACTCTATTAAGAGTTACTGTGAGGGCCGGGGATGTGGCTCAAGTGGTAGCGCGCTCGCTTGGCATGCGTGCGGCCCGGGTTCAATCCTCAGCACCACATACAAACAAAGATGTTGTGTCTGCCGAAAACTAAAAAATAAATATTAAAAATTCTCTCTCAAATGCAAATCAAAACCACCCTAAGATACCATCTCACTCCAGTAAGATTGGCAGCCACTATGAAGTCAAACAACAACAAGTGCTGGCGAGGATGTGGGGAAAAGGGTACTCTTGTACATTGCTGGTGGGACTGCAAATTGGTGCGG